TAAAATCACAACTAACAAGGAATACAAAAGAGCTCTTCCGCAAAGTCATACAAAACCTACTACAAATTCAAAAAAACAATTCACGTTTTCATATGCTGAGGGCGGGAGATTTTGTCTAAACCTGGCCTTTTGTGGGATCTGCGTTCAAGGCCTGCACTAGTACTAAAGGAAGGCCTCCTAGTTCTGCTTTTTCAAAAATTGTCTCGCAAATTTTTGCAAAATCGGAAAGCTTTGCCCTTTGATTCCTCTCACAATTTCTGGAGTAACATGTGGGAAGTCCCTCGCATTTTGCCCCCTTCGTTCTTCTGACGGAAAAACCTTTGGTCCTCTTGCGCCGCTCATTGGGAAGCCTTTCCCGAAGTCTATATAACCACTGGGTTATAGCTGCCATCGGACTGGCATGTGGTCAAAAACAATGTCATTTGTCTTCAAGGTCATCGTGCAAGAAACCCACGTGGTGTACTCGCTGGTTTGCAATAGTCGTTGTCCACGTTTGTGTATCTTTTTTCGTGGAAAGGACACTGGATATGGTAAGGGAGCCTCAGTGAATAGGGAGTTTTAGCAATGAGGACGGTGACGCCGGGGACGACGCCTTGTAAAAATGGATTTACATTTTACCTTCGAGTGTCGCAACTGTGTAGATCAGTGTAGAATTGAACGCTGTCATTGCATACTTAGCCTGAGCGAGGTTTTAGAACCATAGGCATCTTGGACAAATTCAATTTTACAAGGTGTTGTCCTCGGCGTCGCCGTCGTCATGGTTAAGATCCCTATGTTTGCACCTTGGATGCTGGAAGGTCGATACACTTGTTTAACGTGGGGTCTGTCATCCTAAGTGGCTGCTTTGTGTTTTGCTCATGTTTTATCCCGACCAATCGATGACCAAACGAGAGTATCGTGTAAAAACCGTAAAAAGTCAGATAAATTGCAGCTCTTTGCCAAGGAAAGTTTGTCGAACATTTCGGTAGGAAGTTTTTCCCTCCTGCTGAAACACTGAATCTCGTTTATGTTACTTCGCCGATGCAATATCTTTTCATCTTCCCTATTACTGTTGTTGTTCGTCCTTCGTAGTCGAAGATGACCAAAGACATCTATTTTGTTAATAAATTTCTACGGTGTGTCCGGAGGTGGCTGATGAGACCAATCCGGGCAAGGAAGCCTCTCCCACAGGTAGGGCAGAAGTGGGTAGGGGCTGTGCTATTAGTGCTAGCGGCTCTTTCCTTGCGTACTGCTCGCTTCTCTTCGGCGAGACGAGAATCGGCGACACGGCAATCGTTTGCACCTTCTTCTTTGGTATAGCGTAAGGCCGCATAACGAGCCAGACGTTCTTAGCAACCAAAAAACAGACCTGGGATCCCGTGGAGATGTAGGACTAAAAGTTCTACATCTCCACGGGATATCCAGTGGCTTACAACATTCCAGTGTAATCATATCCCTGTCGGTGATC